AAGATGAATTCCAAAGTGATGCAGACGAAGAAAATTAGGGCAAGGGGTCCATCTCTCTCTTGCCTTAAATCAATATAGGTGCTTCTGATTTTATTATAGACACCTATCAGCTCATCCATGCAGCTTTCCGTGCATTGCTAACCTAGTACTTACGTTGTTGTTGTTATGTGCTGTCAAGTTGCCCTTGACTTATGGTAAACCTCATGAACAAGCGGTCTCCATCATGTCCTGTCCTCAGCAGCCTTGCTGAACTCTTGCAACCTCAAGCCTGTGGCTTCGTTTAGGGAGTCGGTCCATCTCACATTTGGTCTTCCTCTTTTCCTGCTGCCTTCCACTTTTCCTAGCATTATTGTCTTTTCCAGAGAACCCTGCCTTCTCATGATGTCCCCAAAGTAGGACAGCCTCAGCTTCGACATCTTCACCTCTGAAAATAATTCAGGCTTGGTTTGATCTAGGACTGATTTGTTCCTCTTTCTAGTAGCCCAGGGTATCTGCAAAGCTCTCCTTCAGCACCACATTAGCATAAATGATGTTTCCAACACAACTATGAGACAAAGCAGGCCACATCTGCCTTCCCCTAAATTAGTCTCTGATCACCAGAAATCATTGGCTTGGTGGCTTTGAAGAGAAATTGTCTTGTTCTAACTGATCTTACTATTATCGGGATGTTTGTATGAAACAGGCCTTGAAAAGTTCATGACTGGTGTTAGCATAGCACGACAACTGTCATATTCTGCATCCCATCCCCTTTTTGTCCTCCCCGTATAACCAGGGCCAGTGTGGTTAGATAAAGCCGTGGCTGGACTCGTATGGCCGGAATTCAATAGGTGATTTACCCATGCATGAGTGAAATTGCATAAGGCGTGGTAGCAAAAGGCCACACATTCACTGGTGCAATAGTCACGTGATTGAGAATGTGACTGGCATCTCATTATTTACTGGCAATTGGCCATCATGGCTTTTGCAGTGTTCTTGTGCAAGTGTAAACTGCTCATATCGTTCTAGTTCCTGCTCCATGCATTTAAGGAAATGGGCAAGATCCATTGTAAAGGTAAAGGTGGATTTAGTCCAGTCGTGTCTGACTTTAGGGTGTGGGTGCTCATCCACGTTTCCAAGCCGTAGAGCCAGCGTTTGTCTGAAGACAGTTTCCAAGGTCACGTGGCCAGCATAACTAGACACAGAATACTGTTACCTTCCCACTGAGGTGGTACCTATTTATCTACTCGCATTTACATGCTTTTGAACTGTTAAGTTGGCAGGAGCTGGGATAAGTGATGGGAGCTCACTCCGTTGCGTGGATTCGATCTTACGGCGGCTGGTCTTCTGACCTTGCGGCACAGAGGCTTCTGCGGTTTAACCACGTCCCTTACAAGATCCACAGTAGCCCATGCCAAATAAATCCTGCAAGCCTTAAAAGTGCCACAAGACTCTGTCAGTTTTTGTCACAGCAAACACATGTGGCTACCTCCTTGAAAAAACTGGACGCCTTGTGTATGTCATACTAGGAGATCAACGTTCAAAGCCAAACACTTGGCTGGTTTTTTCTGTCTCTTGTCATTGAGCTCCTTGTTCTTTGGTTTTCTTGCCTCCTGGGGTCTCTTTCCAATTTTCCAGCCCTTAATGCTGTCACTGGCTTATTGTCCCTTTGAGATTTTAATCTCTGCCAAACCCTCCGCTTCCCTTTCCCTCAAAGAAAATGGCACAGCAGCTCATTCAAGGCAGTCCATTCAGGGAAACTGCATTGTCACAACTGCAATACAATATAGACATCCCCCAGAGAGGAAGCCAAAGATGCTATCTGGAGGAGGAGAAAGGATACAGAGGAAAAAGCACTTTGATTAGCATCCAAAGTTAACCCTTCACTTCCAGGCCAAAGGAGATCCTTCTTGCAAAGGGTCCTCCTAACCCACGGCCAAGGTCTCGAAAGAGTTATTACTAGCTTTGAAATAACCGGTGCAGAATCTGGCTTCTCCAGTAGGAATTTGAAATTGCAGAAGGAAAGAACACGAAAGGCAGAAAAGGGAAATGCAAAGTCGAGGGATACCCAGGAGGGTCTAGTGAACAGAGCGATGGACTGGGGTTCAAGAGAACTGGGTTCAAATTCCTACTTGGTCATGAAAAGTCACAGAGGAGGTTGGAACTGGTAAATATAGTA